GTTCCATCAACATAGCCCAGTATGTCTTGACTCTCAAGGAGAGGGAGAAGTTGGCTTTTCCAAATAAGATAATCGGAGGAAGAAAGCTTGATGGTGATCATATGGATTAAAGTATTGAAAGGAAGAAGATGATAAGAAGATTCGGAAGCCATAGAGAAGAAAGAATCAGGGTTGTTAAACCGAAAGGGCTCTGATACCATGTAAATGTTTGCTGAATCCACCACACCTAAATGGTGGCGAGAGTTCTCTTATTTATAATCATTTACAGAATACAGAAATATAATAAATTACAAATAATATGGAAATATCTATAAAAGGAAAGAATAATAAATGAATACAATATATTTGTCTTTAATAAAAGGGCAAATATGGTAAGCCGTAATGTAAGGCAAATATCTACATATTTGCCTTATAATGAATGGTCAACTATCCTTAACAATCTTGAAATTCCTTCTAGATAAGAAATTAAAAATCCGGAAAGATTCTTGATAATTGAAAAAAAATTACCTTTTCGTCCTTTTCGCTTACACTCTCATTCCCAATCCTTCTCCAAAGGTTTCATGTCCTTAAAATTACATCTTAGGGTATCTCTTAATTTCTTTCCTGGGGTCCTTTGCGTCTTTACATGAATAGCTATCCTTCATTTTTGGGTGTTGGTTTACATGGCTAATCAAACAAAAATGGACCTTGATGGTTAATTATTCAAAACATTGGTTGTAATCTTCCTAAAAAATCATTTACGGTAATTACTCTTCAAAGTGACCATTAGTAGCTGGTTATCATCATCAGACATCGTGTAACCTTTATCACAGAAAAATTAGTTTCATCACCCTTAAAATGATTATCAATGATTGGTTATCGATACATATAACGTGTAACCTTCACCACAAAAATTATTTTCAACAACCACTCTTCAAAGTGACAATGAGTAACTAAAACCTTACTACACGTGATCGTAGAAATTAGAATCACAATGTTAGTTTAGGCCAACTAAAAATTGTCTCTACCTCATGGGATTTGAAAATGATACTTTCTATAGTAACTACGTGATCGAGAAACATAACTATGTCTACATAAGACTTATACTTCGAACACTTAGACAATAGACTCAGATTTCGTTCATGAAATCCATGTAAGTTATCATGCATCGATGATATTTCATATATTAATGATAGACCTAAAAGTTGAGTTAACTACATTTGTTAAGAAACTCTTAGAATTTGATGTATGAACCTTAGGGAAGAACAATACCTTTAAATCTAAACTATCAGCTCCAGAACGATGTGGAATCAATCCAAGAGAAAGTTTTGGAACAAATTATCTTGATGATCAAGATTAAGAGTAAACAAAACTCGTGATTCGAATCACTCCACAAGATACCTGATTCAAAACTACTTGAATTACTCCAGCATGTAAATCTAAACACGAGAATACAAAGAAATAATATGCAAACTTCATTTATTATCCAAAATCTTCACACTAGAGCAATAACATGAATGGGTATTTATGGTCTTAAAAATAAACGTTATACTAATGTATGTTAATTGAATGGTTGTAACTTTTATGGCCATCAATACCATAATAGCCACTAGCGATGACGTTGAATGTCGATTAGGTTCACGGTGTGGGTATGGTCATCACCACCGCAATCTTCATCCGAGACAGTTGGGGAACGGGGAGGCATGTCAAGTACCATCATTTGAAAGGTATTATTAAATTTTTCGCATATATTATTAAAGGCATGCATGTAGTGACATCTTTGATCTAGATAAGAATTTTAAGGATGTTACATAAACGCTTCACTATTAAAGCCTCGAAGTTTTATTCCGATAATTCTTTGGCCACTATCGTAATAACAACCCTCAACCAAAATGTTGCTCGAGTAAACTCCAAAGCAATCTCAAGAAAGAAGCTTATTAGAACATTGTCTCGGTTTATTCATATCTTGAAATAGAAATTTTCACGGTAAGGCTAAGTTTCATAGCAATGTCGCAATGTCGCGTATCCTTTTTTCAACAAAAAGTACTAAAGTTCAAAGTTACAATAATAATCGTGACATATCTCCCGAGATCTAAACTTTTCTAACTCGTAACTCTCGAAACCTTTTATCTTTTAGAATTCTCGGTGTTCTCACCACATGAAAAATTCACACTTCAGCTCAAGTTAAGAGACACTGTCAACCAATGACTTCTAAAATCCTTTAGTCTCTTTCGGTCTCCCCTCCTCTCTCAAGGTCGTAACTGACACCAAAATCGTACTTTAACTAAATTCAGAGTGTAATAGACATCGATCTCAAACATGTTTAGCACAAAACATACATTCACAAGTATTCAACATAGCCACAAATTTATGCCAACCGAACCATTGACTTTTTTCAAACAGTCGTTTCCAACAGTATGCAATTCTCGTGCACCTAAATGAGCCATTGGCAAAAGATTAGAGCACACGACTCTTGCAAGAACAATTTCCTCGCATTTCAAACAACATATTATAAATTTCGGACTCGAGTTCGATTTATAAAGCATACACATATTTCTTTTTAAGCTAAGTATGCATATCAAATCATTTCCTTTACCAAAGACGTATTTGGAAGTGATGAAGGTTTTGTTAATGATATTTAGTCTTAAAATTATAGTTTACCGTATATATCATATTTGATATTTTATTAAAGGCAAATATCTATCTGTCTTCTTACCATAGGTATTTTTCTATTTATTGCTCTTTCCTTTTATAACTCTTTACTGTTCAGTCATGGAAATTTTATATAACTTACAACGTAAAGAGTCTAAACAACTTCAAAACTAGACTCTGACACCAATTGCATTGACCTAACTTTCCGCACACGTACCGGTTGAAACCGTTAGTTGAAACATGGAAATCTCTATTAGGAAAGCACAATCGGTTCACAAATCAAGTTAAATCAAAAGCATTTGAGTTGTCCCATGACCAGTTTCTCCACCATGCTCGTTATTCTCGCACCACAAGCTTGCTTTACTTGAAAATCATTTTAAAAAAATGGACGAGTATTAAAAATGCTTAGATACTCGCACAACCAGTAATCTTTGGGATCTAATGTATGCACGTTGTATATTTTGGGTAACTAGCCATTAAGGTCCCTCAATTTTATCAAAATTACGATGTATATTGGTATTTTTTTAATTTCATAAAGCTACACAAACTCATATTATATATTAATGGATACACGTCTTATGTTACATAATTCAATAATTCATAACCTCACGTATGAAACGACGCAGTTTACACGTCATTCAAGTTTCTATAACGAACTTTCACACCAAATATATAGAATATTTGATACATGAATTAAAATAAATAAATAAATAAATAAAATATGCTAGTTTGAATATTTCTTTTTAACTAGAACAAATAAATTTCAACGTCATAGGCTAGTTGGCCATGGCTAGCTTGTTATTAAACCACAATATAGTCAATTATTGCAAAAAGTCAAAAATAGCCTACCATACTTGAATTTGGATGAATTTTCTTTTTTATATTTCTAGTGGATCTCTCAATAGGATTCGAGCTCATATGAAGTTATTATCATCGATTAAAAAAAAACGAATGAGTGAATCATGTAGGACTCCCGAGAAAATTTTCAATTTCTGTTAGAAGTAGATGATTATTTATCTACTTTTCACTTTTTGTGTAAAAAGTGGTATTGTAACGGCCCAGGCCCACCGCTAACAAATATTGTCCTCTTTGGGCTTTCCCGTTTGGGCTTCCCCTCATGGCTTTAAAACGCGTCTTTCAGAGTTACACAACGGAACCGGTGCTGAGCAGAAACTATTACAAATGGTATCATAGCCATATCGGGCGATGTGTCAATGAGGAGGCTATTCTCCGAAGGGGGTAGACACGAGGCAATGTGCCAGTAAAGACCTTGGAGCTTGAAGGGGGTTGGATTTGGTGGGGGTCCCACATCGATTGGAGAAAGGAACAAGTGCCCGCGAGAACACTGGGCCCTAAAGGAGGGTGGATTGTGATATCCCACATCGATTGGGGAGGAGAACGAAATACCCTTTATAAGCGTGTGGAAACCTTTATTTAGTAGACGCGTTTTAAAGCCTTGAGTAAAAGCCCAAAAAAGAAATCCCAAAGATACAATATCCGCTAGAAGTGGGTCTGAGCAGTTACAGGTCTTTAACCCTTGGGAACGTGACAATATATCTAAAAAGTTATATCATGGATCATATTCTCCCCTGAATGTAGGAATAGCAATACAAAATAAATGTCCTATCCAAGCCAAATAACGTACTATCCTGATAAACGATGATTGGAGCCTATTTTACTCCGAATGTCCTGATAAACGATGATCGGAACCTATTTTAGAAGAATGGAGAATTAATAAATGTCATATCCAAGCCAAATAACGTACTATCCTGATAACCGATGATCGGAGCCTATTTTACTCCGAATGTCCTGATAGACGATGATCAGAACCTATTTTAGAATAATGGAGAATTGATTAATTAAGTTGAAGAAATATATATATTTTTTTTAAGGAAATAAAAAAATAAAAAAAATGTACATAAAAAGATAATTCAACATTATTTTTATAAAGATGATTGTAAATTAAAAATGGGTTAATTAATTTGAACAAATCATTCTTATTGAAACATTCTTATGGAACAACTTGATCACTTTTAACTTTAATTAAAAAAATATATTTAAATAAATTACCTAAAATTTTGGTTGTTAATATTAAAAAGAATTAAAATGGTGTTATGAACACACGTGGGTCAACTATATACTAATTCAAAACTCCAACAATTTCATATATTAAATATTTATTAAGAAAATATATCTTAATATAATCTATTGATAATTTTTTACTAATTCCACGTTTGGTGATTAATAATGGGTATTTTTAATTATTTAATAATTAAAAACGACTTGGTTTGCTCTTAGGAGGTATGAAAATTGGAACTATATAAAGGGCAAAATTTGCATTTCGAAGTATATCCCAAAAAAAATATTGTTCTAAGATATGGCGTCTTCCGTGGCGTCCCTCGTTATTGCTATCTTAGTTGTTGCTCTAAGCGTGCCATCGTCAATTGCTAGAGAGTATCGTTACGCTCCTTGGCTACCACCTCCTACGTATAAGTGGCGGCCAATTTATCGCTCTCCTCCATCACCTGTGTATTACTCTCCTCCTCCACCGGTTTATCATTCTCCTCCGCCACCTGTCTATAAATCTCCTCCACCACCTGTGTATTACTCTCCTCCTCCACCGGTGTACCATTCTCCTCCACCTCCTGTCTACAACTCTCCACCACCGCCTATTTATAAATCTCCTCCTCCTCCTGTGTACTACTCTCCTCCTCCACCCGTGTATCATTCTCCTCCACCTCCTGTCTACAAATCCCCTCCCCCACCTGTGTATCCCTCTCCTCCACCTCCTGTGTACAAGTCTCCCCCACCACCAGTCTACTATTCTCCTCCGCCACCGGTCTATTCCTCTCCTCCACCTCCTGTCTACAAGTCTCCTCCGCCACCAGTCTACTATTCTCCTCCGCCACCGGTCTATCACTCTCCTCCACCTCCCGTGTACAAGTCTCCTCCACCACCAGTCTACTATTCTCCTCCGCCACCAGTCTATCACTCTCCTCCACCTCCTGTCTACAAGTCTCCTCCACCACCGGTCTATCACTCTCCTCCACCTCCCATGTACAAGTCTCCTCCACCACCAGTCTACTATTCTCCTCCACCACCGGTCTATCACTCTCCTCCACCTCCCGTATACCATTCTCCTCCGCCACCAGTCTACCATTCTCCTCCTCCACCAGTCTATTCGTCTCCTCCACCTCCGGTCTACAAATCTCCTCCACCACCTACATACTATTAGGTCAACATATGCAATCTACTACATACTAGGTAAATGTGAGCTTCATTACAGTTTACATAACTGTCTGCATGTTTTTCAATTACAATTTACCTTAACCTGATTGGTGTCTTAATTTTGCAAGGAAAAAATCAATGATATATTCAAGTTTCAATTCAATAAAGAGGACAGCCCTAATGAAGATTTGATCATTCCTCTACAGTGAAGACTCTTTAATTTGTTTGCTGATTTCCAAATAATCCCTTATGATTTGAAATGATTTTGATTTTATGTGCTTGTAACGCCATTCATATCATGGCATATTGTTTTATTGTTTAACTTTCAATTATTTCATAATATTCATGTCTAAACTCGTCACCACATGCATGCCAATATCATTTTAAGTAAGTAATTCTATCACCGGGATCGAAACATATAGACACACATAATACGTATCATATTGGCTTAACTTGGGAGATCTGAGCCTTTTTCATCACGTAATTAAACCTTCCTCGTCCTACACAACCTCTCCCAACTTCTTCGTGCATGAATGGGCTCCTCTCGGGACTTAACCCCATGTTGAGAGTAAACCTTGTAAGAAGGGTTAGAGTTACGGAAATTGTGAAGAAAATGTTGTTTAAATTATCACAGGATGTTGCAATTCATGCCACGTTAAAGAAGAATATAACTGCATTTATTCTTAGTGAAATGACCGTAGTTTTCTACTAACCTAAAGTCGCTACCATATGTATGACATAACATCTTGTACAAAAATATTAATTTAAAATGTTTTCATAAAATAATGTCATGGACTTACATGTTTAAGAAAAAGGTCTTAAAACAATACAACGGAAAAATTAAAATAGACATTAGTAGAAATCAAACAGCAATGCCCTGTACTAATCTAAAGTCTATGAAATTAAATACAACTACCCGTCATGGTCTTTAAATTTGTGATGTAACCGTCAAATGTGTAGGGGTGCCTTGCCTTTATCTAAAATGTAGAAGTAGCACATGACTTGAAGTATTTTAAGAAATACTCATTAAGTGACTATCCTAACCGGGTCATTGGATGTGTATTTGACTATTCTATACACAACCTATACGAGTGAATATGGACCCACGCACACCTCCTAGGCCTCGTTCTGGTCGGGCTAGCATTCTCTGGTGTTTTTGTCGGACACGTATGTATATATGTGTGTGTGTTATTAAGCGGGGTGGGGATAGGGCGGAGACGAGAAATATAATCCTGTCACCAACCCCATTTATCTAACGGAGTCTTCTATTTCCCGTTGGGAATCCCCTTCCCGTTCGGGACGGGTTGGATCGCTACATTTGACTATTGGAATTAAAAGAAAACTTGAAAACTAATAATAATAAATGAAAAAATTCATGTAGATGCATAAGCATATACTCATAGCATTCTCGTCTCTTGCATTTTACATTGTTAACGATATCTGAAAATTTTTACAAGAAAAGTTCGAGAATATAAATATCTAGTAAGTAATCCTGCTATTAAAATCAAAATTGGAACACGTAGAATATTGGCTTAACTTGTGAGACCTCATGGTCTCCTCTCGAGACCGTACCCATGTTGAGAGTACACCCTGCAAGAAGGGTTAGTTAGGTATAAGTACACATTGCCCTCGAGAAGTAAAAAAGTTTCGAAAGTCGAACCAAGAATTTTGAGAAATTTCGATGGCTAATTTATACATTTGAAATAGGAGTGTTGAGGTTCAACAAATGTATAAACTTGATAGGACTAAACGGCTAAGCCATAGAATTGACCAACACTAGGGCCTAGGTAAAACACGTAGCCTCGAGAACATTGAATATGAGTGATATTCAACGAGAGTCTACAAGTAAGTTGCTTGCTGAGTATTTTTATACTCATTTTTATTATTCTTTATTTTTTGAATGGATTGTACTTGTAGATGAACGGTCGATGGCGAGAGCATATAGGGAGCTGTTAGATCCGATTCATTATCCCTATTTTATATTCGATTGTCATCTTTAAGCTTATATTATCATAAGTTATAAATTTTTGTTCTTAATTTTTTTTTTAACTACTTCTTTGAATTACTCGAGTTAAAATTAAAAAAAATTTATCACCTCTTTTTACCCTCGAGTCTACGTAGTAGTTTGTGATTTCAAGAATCGAAAAGCGATCTCGACTAAAAATCAAGACATTATTTACTTAAAAGTTGAATGTTTAAATCTTTCGCTTCGACAAAGTTTCGTACTCATAGGCTAAATTCATAAATAAAAATATTGACATTTTTAACAACTAAATTGTCCATTGGGCACTCAAAAGACACATTTTGCTGTCAGCCTGACCCTTCTCTTTGCAATTTTGGCGCTCTTCTCAATCAAATTCCCGAGCATGAATATACACGAGAAAGTTGAGTTGAAAAAATCTTTTAAACTAACTTAAATTTTGGATTGGTTGAGTTGATGACCTGAACAACTTGACTAGAGTTTGTAAATCAACTCAACCCTTATTTTCGAGTTGCGTTGTTCGGTTATTTTTTTTGTAGTATTATTATTTTTAAAAAAATCATACCTATCCACAATATAAAGTATATTAATAATTAAAATCCTGTAAAATTCAAATATCAAAAACATCACATCACTAACATCAGTTACAAATGTAATATTCTTAATATTATTAAAAGTAGAGTCACGATGAGTTGATTGTAACCTATTTTCAGGTTGGTCAAATTGACCCGACCAAAATAATTTTCACCCACGAACCAATCTATATTTTCGGTTTTTAAAAATTTCAACCCAACCCAAACTGAAAAAAACTCTAACCCAACCTAACCCCTATGCTTTTAATTGAACAATTTAGATTGATCAGATTGTCGAGTCGTATAAGCTTACGTTTATTCGTTGGTTAAATATTTGGGAGTATGCATCGAAGCTACGATCTTTTCACTTTAATTCCTTATTCTACACATTAACCTTATATTTTATTAAACTCAAAATTACCAAATCCACTCTTTATACTATACTCTTTAATGGCTAAGTCAATATGAACAAATTTATAAAAACCATGCTAGTTTGAATATTTGTTTTTAACATTCATAAATTAATGAGTCTCAACATCATAGACTTGGTGTATTATGGCTACCATTGCACAAAGTCATAAATCCTACAATATTTTATAGAATAATATCCGAAATAACTAAATAAACAACTTAGAAACATGGAAAAATAAGCCGTTTTCGTGGGTTTAGATGATAAAAGAGATGGTTATAGATGAATTACTGATCTCCACAATGGTATGATATTGTCCACTTTGAGTATAAGTTCTCCTGGCTTTGCTTTCGGCTTCCCCAACAGGGCTAAATTAGCGAATATGGGACTCACTCCCAACAATCCTCCTCCGACTACACCTTCGAGTCTCACAATTCATTGTTTGATATTTGAGGATTCTATTGTCATGACTAAGTTTAGGGCATGACTCTGATATCATGTTATGAATCACGACCCTCCACAATAATATTATATAAGCTCTCGTGACTTTGTTTTGAGCTTCTCCAAAAAAGACGTATTCCTCACTTATAAACTCTTGATTATTCTCGGATTCACTCCCAATCGTCCTGAACAACTTGGTCAATTTCAACTCTTTTTTTAATAATTCCATAAATACACATTTGTTTTTGTTTATTGTCGTGTTGATAATATTTTATTGATTACGCGTTTCGTTATGTAATAATGATATGTATGTTTTTAATTATTTACAATTTACTATGACTTGGTTTTGGTTGAAGGGGTAAGAAAATGGTGGCTATATAAAGGAGGAGGAGTAGTGCTAAAAGTATAGCCCAAACCCTAATTACAAGATATGGGTTCTTCAATGGCTTCCCTTCTTGTTGCATTCTTAATTGTTGCTCTAAGCTTTTCGCCGTCGATTGCGGTAGACTACCGCTACTATTACTCTCCGCCGCCACCTTTTATGTATAAGTCGCCGCTGCCGCCGGTTTACTATGCACCTCAACCACCATATTATAAATTACCTCCACCTTTTTACTATTACTCTTCTCCTCCGCCTCCAGTCTATAAATCTCCTCCTCCGCCCGTCTATTCGTCTCCACCGCCTCCCGTGTACTACTCTCCTCCTCCAGTAGTCTACCCATCTCCTCCACCGCCTGTCTACAAATCTCCACCTCCCCCAGTCTACCCGTCTCCTCCACCTCCTGTGTACTACTCTCCTCCTCCACCTGTCTATAAATCTCCTCCTCCACCGGTTTATTCGTCTCCTCCACCTCCTGTGTACTACTCTCCTCCTCCGCCGGTCTACTCGTCTCCTCCACCTCCTGTGTACTACTCTCCGCCTCCACCTGTCTATAAATCTCCTCCTCCTCCTGTCTACTCGTCTCCCCCGCCACCTGTGTACTACTCTCCTCCTCCACCTGTCTATAAATCACCTCCTCCGCCTGTCTACTCGTCTCCCCCGCCGCCTGTGTACTACTCTCCTCCTCCACCTGTCTATAAATCACCCCCTCCACCAGTCTACTTGTCTCCTCCACCGCCTGTGTACTACTCTACTCCACCGCCTGTCTATAAATCTCCTCCTCCGCCAGTCTATTCGTCTCCTCCACCTCCTGTGTACTACTCTCCTCCACCTCCCGTGTACTACTCTCCTCCACCACCTGTCTATAAATCTCCTCCTCCGCCAGTCTACTCGTCTCCTCCACCTCCTGTGTACTACTCTCCTCCACCTGTCTACCCATCTCCTCCACCTCCCGTGTATTACTCTCCTCCACCACCTGTCTATAAATCTCCACCACCGCCAGTCTACCCATCTCCTCCACCTCCTGTGTATTACTTTCCTCCACCACCTGTCTATAAATCTCCCCCTCCACCAGTCTACTCGTCTCCACCTCCTGTATACTATTCTCCTCCTCCACCTCCTCCAGTGTACTCGTCTCCTCCTCCACCTGTCTATAAATCTCCTCCTCCTCCAGTCTACTCGTCTCCTCCACCCCCTGTGTACTACTCTCCTCCTCCACCTGTCTATAAATCTCCCCCTCCCCCAGTCTACTCGTCTCCTCCACCTCCTGTGTACTACTCTCCTCCACCACCCGTCTACAAATATCTTCCACCACCCGTCTACTCGTCTCCTCCACCTCCCGTCTATAAGTATCTTCCACCACCCGTCTACAAATATCTTCCACCACCCGTTTACTCGTCTCCTCCCGTCTATAAATATCTTCCACCACCCGTCTACTACTCTTCACCACCAACAAAGTACATTTACAATTCACCTCCGCCACCTTTGTACTTTTAGGTTAACATACGTACTCTAATCCTAAGTAAGGGGATAGCCAAATGAAGATCATGATCGATGTTATACAAAGAAGAAGGCCTTTTAATTTGTTTGTTGATTGCATCTATGATACTTTTAATTGTTTCTACACATCTTGTTTTTCGAATACTATTGATCAATAAAATTAAAGCTTTTATGTTCCTTCATTTAAAAAGTTCGACTCAAATCTATATTATTGTAATTACGTGGATAATATATTAAAAAGATTAAATATAACCTACTTGCATGAGTTAATTTACAATAACTAATGTCTCGTACTCATTTCTAATGCGGAAATATAGTTCTTAAAATGAACATCATTTATAACATAAATTCCGAAAACGCTTAAAATAACTTCTTCTCACGAAAAAACAGTCATGTTCTTGTGTTTAAATACTATATTGAAATTGAGAAAAAATAAAAAGAAATACAAAATAATTTGAAACCATGAAATGCAAAAGAACATATTCTAACCTAAGACTAAGAATTTAAATATGAGTCTACCCTATGCACGTGTCATAGTCTCTGCTCGCGATGTCGTCATCCTTAGTACAAATGTGCCTTGATTTTACCTGAAAAATGATGTGGCACACAACATGAGTATTTTGAAGAATACTCAATAAGCTGCCTCACTACAGGGTAATGCAAATGCAAACATATGTCATCATGATTTAGGGACCTATCTCTAGCTTATCTAGGGATGACATCAAGTCTCGGACAAATTGGATGTGTACTTCCCTACACACGATCCACACGTGCGAGTGTGAATCTCTAGGGCGCTCGCACACCCCCTAGACCTTCTGGTCAAGCTAATCTGTAGCGACGTTCGGAGGTTAGCGGAACTCCATAGTGTCGTCATGCACCTCATGAACACCCTGCTCGTCATATTGTGCAGATTCGCACTCATCATCATACTATGTGCGTCCGCACTCATCATCTCTAGGGGAAGTATCCCTATGCTTATGAACCAATATGCATGAGGTCCCTCTAACGTTCATCTTATCATCTCTTCTGACACAACCCTTAGTCTCATCTCTGTGTTACATTAAGTAACACATACTCGAGGATATTTATATTGACATCATTTTCATACTCTTAGGGTTGTGTCCTATGTTGATCTAACGACATAATGCAGTATGACACTCATCATCATATAACATGCTCAATATGGAAAACATCATTATATTAAGGTAAACATCATGCAATCATCATACTCATCATATTATCGTAAAGTGCATCAAGCATATCAAGTACGTTATTCATCGAAATATATATACTAAGCACATCATCAACCATCATAACTCATACATCATCATAACTCGCACATCATCATATACTATTATACGACACCATACGATATAGCTCATATATCATCATAACTCATAAAATATTTTAGCCTATCCTATAGTAAAGTCATTACTTGGTTGGCCTTAGCCGAAATACTCCCTAATTTAATTAACATAAGCTCCCGTTCCTCGAGAGCTGCTCCAAAGGTTGCCGGGGTTCGCTTCCCATCACACCGTTCATCACCTTTTGTTGGTATTTCACATTTTAATTAACAATCCAACTAACAATGTGAAATACGACTCTAAAACGGTCTCAATTACCTTAACTGGGATCGAAAACAGGTCCAGAACGATGGAAATCGGGCTAAAAATGGCAAGCTGAGCCAAAAACAGCCGAGGAGCCGCCAGAGTCGCCGCTATACCGCCAAGCCTAGGTTGCTCGTGCCGCTGGTTGCCATGTGGCGGCATTAGGGTGAGCCACGCCGCGCGGTGCTTCAGGTCGAAGACCGATTCGAGTTGGCTCATGGGTCGTCGGCTGTAGGTAAGTTTGGGCCTTGGGCTACTGGGCTAGATTGGGTTTGGGCCGAGAGAACTTGGGTTGCAAGACGGGCGCAGGTCATGGTTCTGGTTTGCGACGAGGGCCGCTGCAGCTGGATTGGGTTGATGTTGGGCTGACGATGGGTATTGGGCCACTGGACATGGGTCGAGTATTCGGTTCGGGTCGACCCGGATCCGATGGATCCTTTTTTCTTCGCCTGATTCCCTCCACGATTTCTCGATGATGTTTCTATCTCCTCCGTTCGTCGTTTTCGGGCGAAAAATCAGTTCGGGTATTTGGTTTGGGTCGACCTAGACCCGGATCCGACGCCGATTTCCATACTATCTATGTGGTATTTGAAAGACAATTTTTCATATATATATATATATATATTTATATGGTAAAATTTTATGTCGTTTAATACAAATAACACCGTAAATAAAAACAAATCGAAATCTAATACACATCAAAGTTGTTTAAGTTTATTTATAAACGGAGGAATAGAGTTTGACTTTTGAGAATGTTTCATTTCATTTGATGACTTTTTAATAATAGGTAAAATAATATACGAGTCAGTTGACCTCGCTGGCACACTGCACCGCCTCGTCTATAGAATCTAAAAACCTAGGGTTTTGATACTATTAGCAGATCTTATCTACTTTGACCTGTTACGTATCGCTGTTAAACTCACGACAAAATCAACGAAATCAATTTCTTCGAGCAAACTTGAGTAATATAATAAAAGGAAAGATAATGATTTTATTAACAAATGTTAATTTTGTAGGGCTCAGTAAATTTTTTATTACATCAAGATTATTTTTTTTTAGGAAATTAAATTAGGAGTGAAATTGAAAATATTAACGAAAATAAATAAATAAATTTGTTATATTAATTATTTGAGCTAAAAATAATTTTACTTAATTTTCAATGTTGCAATTTTTAAATTGGTATTTTTTATTTTATTTTATTTTTATTTTTTGGTAAAGTTGCCCTAATTGGTGACGTGTGTATAAAACGCTTCCCTTCATCACATCAAAATTCATTCGCTCTTCGTCACCGTGAGAACAAGAGGGATCAGTTTTCCGACAACCCATTCCTGTAAGCCAACAATTTGCTCTGTTTTTTTGTTCATCTGATTTCATGATTGTTTCTCGTTTCTTGATCGGACTTTGATTTTTAACTTATGCTTTGTTTTTTCCCCTTTCGTTCTCATTTTTTGCAATTGTCGTGATCGATTTCATATTGAAGGGAAACTAATCTTTAGGATCTGTTTCGGATGGAATTTTGTTGTTTCCTTTCCTGTCGTTCAGATCTGTGGATTTTCTTCTGGATTTTGTGGATGTTTTGTTAATTGCATCTTTTAATGATCTGAAATGAAGAATGTGATAGTTGCTTTATAGTTTGATGTATTTATACGAAGCAGATGACAAGGATGAAGATTTTTATGATTTCCTTTTTGTTATACATCCCATCTAGTGTTATTCGAAGAGGTCTGGGATTTGTATCCGTTTGTATTTAATTGTTTGTTTTCATTTTTCTAATTTGCTTATGGCTCTTTAGAGCTTCCGATTATTCATTAGCCTTTTATAGGTTTGGCTGAGTATCATATGTCATAATCCTTCAAAAACAGTGGTGCTTCAGCACACATCCCAAATTAACTATTTACAATTCATGTTTTTTTTTTTTGGGTCAAACTTGTTTTTAATCATGAATAGTGTTTCAGATCAATTCGTTTTTTGGTTTCCCTGTGGCAATGAGCTCCTTCACTCCCGGCACACACGAGTAGCCTTTAGTAATCATTTGTATACTGTGAATTTATTAAAATTATCTTCCTTGTAAAGGAACTATTGGTTGAGCAAATCAGCAAAAGGGAGAACTAACTGCTAGCAGAGAAAATGGCCATGGTCAATGGAGTGAAATCATGCGCAAAGCTGCTGAAGTCATCAGAATCATTGTTGGTGAAATCAGGTTTTGTTACTTGCTAGCTAGCAATTTAGATTTACTAAACCTTACGTTTTACAATTTTTGCACATGATTTTAACTTGCTACAATTTTTTACAAATTCATAGCAGTGTAGTACTAGGTTTTTCTAAGACAGCTTTAAATAATGGGACAATCAAATCATGAATCAAAATGCAAGTAAACTTAAGGAGTTGTAAAAGAACGACAGTAACAAAAAAGAATCAGCTGAAAAAGACAACCAAGGATTATCAGAAAGTAAAATTTATGCGTAGGACACAATCTTAGAACTTTGTTGTTTTGGAAACGATGTAAATGTGTCTCTTCTAATGGAACATGAGTTTTTCTTCTATAGGAGGCAGTCTAACTTTTGTCTAGTTTTGAGTGGATCTCGCCTTACTTCCTCTCTTTGTTTAGGGCCCTTGTCTCAATCAACAAAAGATTAGAGAAGTTTATGAGTCATTTTGTATAGGAAGAATGACCGATGAGGGTAAAGGTGTAAATTTAGTCCAGTAGAAGGTGGTGTCCAAGTTGGTTGATTTTAAGGGGCTTAGGCATTGATAACTAGAGGGCTTGAGATGAAGTCTTGTTGGCTACATAGCATTTCCTCGGGAGATTGACATCTTGTGGTATAAGGTTATTGTTAGTAAGCATGGTCCACCTTCCAATGGTCCTCTAGCTAGGGTTTGAAAGGGTCCTCTAGAAATCTATGGAAAGCTACATTTGAGGGTTTTTCTGTTTTCAACGATGGGTCTGATACTTAAGTATACATGGAGGATAAGTCGTTGAGGTATAGACCCCCCTTTGCTCCAACTATACTCAATGAGGACTCATTTGATGATTTCAGTCTTACCTTCTTTTGGAAACTTCTCCACTCTTGCTCTTGGTTTTATTGTCCTTTGTTTGATAGTGGAACATAAGATATGTGGCTGTTGTGTCTTTGGTATGGTTTTTTTGTTAGTATGGGGAGAAATGATTCTGTCTTTGGTTCTGCAATTCTTTGGAAGGGCTTGCTTGTGTTTCATTTTCCGTAGTTGGGTGGATCTCTCTCTTTATAGGTTTCTTTCTTTTTCTGGCTGTTGAAGGACTAAATTTCTATGAATATCAATTTTTTTGCACCATAGCAATAGAGTCATTACTTTGGATTGCATCGTAGGTCCTTGGAGGGTATTGTAGAGTAGAATCCTTTTTCTCTCTTTATTTTTGTAACTCAGATGGGGATAAGGAGGGCCCTTTTTTTTGGGAGGATAAGTGATGGGGGATAAATCCCTTCGCTTTGTAGTCTGTAACTTATACTAGTTATATCGATGAGGGATCGTTTTGGTGTGGTAGTGTTGTCTTAGCCTTTGTCTCCTCTGTTGCTGGGTTTTGGTCGTCCTTTATCTGACAGGGAAATGCTAGATGTCATCAATCTCCTATCGATGACTGGGGACTTCCGTTGTAACTTTGTGGGAAGCTATGTTTGTATTTTGGAGTCCTTGTTCTTTTGAAGAGTTCTTGTGTAAATCCTTTTTTCTTTGTCATGTGAACCATTCTCCTTTGAGTGTTTGACTGGTTGTGGAAGGTGAAAATTTTGAAGATGGTTAAGTTCTTTTTTTTTTTATCTAGAAGGTTCTCCATGGTAGAATCAATACCTTAGGTAGTGTTTTGAGGAGGGAACCCAACTTGGTGGGGCTTTGGTGTTGCTTCATTTGCAAGAGGGTGGCGGAGGAGGATCTGAGTCATATTCTTCGGTTGTGTAATGATGTGCTTACAGTTTAGAGCCGGTTGTTAGATGGGTTTGGTTTGAGTTTAACTAGATACAAAGGTTGCAGAGATATGACCGAGGAGTTTCTTCTTCACTCTCCTTCTTGCGAATAAGAAAGCTTTTTGTGGCATGCTGGGTGTGCACTATTATTTATGGGCTTTAGGGAGAAACGAACTAAAGAATTTTTAGAGGGTTTGAGAGGCTTTTGAGTGAGGTATGGTCCTGCATTAGGTTCAATGTTTTTCCGTGAGTGTATGTGACCAAGTTTTTCTTGAATTATCCATTGTGTTCTATTTATTTAGATTGTCTGTGAGTGTATGTGACTAAATTTTTCTTGATTTATCCATTAAGTTCTATATACTTAGGTCGGATACGGTTTTTATAGGTGTTGTGGGTTCTTTCTTTAGACCTATCTTTCATATTTTCTCTCAATGAAAGTTCGGTTTTTCATTAGAAACATTTAAATATTTTTATTTACTTACAATTCTGGTTTTAGCGATGGATGCTGGATTGCCTATTGCACACTAATGTTTCATCCAAAAAGTTAGATCACGTGTAGTAATGTCTATTGCGAAGCTTACTTCCATGGAAAATCATGCTGTCACATATTTCAAAATTCCTTGTCATAAATAAATACTGCAAATTTGTTGGAGATTTTAGTTCTGGGTTCTGTCCCAACAAAATTTTGCCTCTTCGAAATTCTTGATTATTACAGAGCGGCCTCGTGCTAATACTCTTAGAAGCATTGTTGCTTTGGATAAGGTAAAGTGTCCTTGACATTCGTCACCATCATAGATTTGTATCATATACTAGTGGTATAAAGTTGATGTGATTTCAACCCTTGTTAGGCACGTATGGAACAATTATGATGGATATAAATAGTAACAAAGGCCACAATTAACAAATCTTAGCATCATAAAACATCGCTCATGTACTTTTTAGAATATAAACGGTATAAGTTTCTTCTTGTCTTTTAAGTTTTCTGCTATGAAAATTATGCATTTGAAAAAAAAATGCGTATTTTTTAGTAAACGATATTTTTGTGTTTCATAGATAATAATCTGTCCATTTCTCTGAATTGATAATGGTCATGTATGAATTGAGGTTTCGAAATCCAAAAAATAATGGTTAAATGTGATCTCGTGCTGCAGCTAATAGAGGGTTTCACTCAACTGGTGTGAAGAGAATGGGAGGACATGCTCATGGACATGATGAACCATACTATTTGCACGCCAAGCATATGTACAACTTGGACAGGATGAAACATCAGAAGCTGACCATGACGCTTGCAGTACTCACTGCATTCAGCATTGGTGTGGGCGTTCCAATCTTTGCAGTCGTCTTTCAGCAAAAGAAGACGGCCTCTGGATGATGATTGAAAGAACGTGCGTCAATTCGTCTTGCAGCCCGCATCCTCTCGTTCGTTTTCTTAATTCTGTATAAACCCTCCTTTCAAATGCACAGAAACTCAGAACCTGGATTCTGTTTTTGCCAATAAGTCTTTTCATCAACATCCCATTATTGGATATTTTTGTTAAATTATGTTTGTTCCAAAGATCTCTTTGATCATTTAGATTTCTCTCCCTGCATTTGTTCTTAGTTTGTTCGCAACTAATTTCTACATTCCAATGAATTTGATAATAAATGGCCTTGCCGTGTAAGTTTAGCCTTTTCTAACGCTTTGTGTTGTAAGATCATGAGAGATGATAATGCATCATATGGCATGGCTGTTATATTTGTGATTTCAGGCTGGCAAAGTAGTCGATGGAGCAAGTGAAAATATATAGAAGGGGGAGAGAATTCAAGGTAATCATATATATATATAGATATATATAGATATATATATATATATAGATATATATATATATATTTGGTACTTGGATGGTTGAGCCCTAACACATTCATGGCGAAGACTTGGAATGGATATCTTCCTTTCTTTAACGGAGTGACGGTTAGTTGTTCTTATGTTCATGTTTCATGTGTCAATGGCAAAAGCAAGACAAAAGGGTGAAAATTTCTTCTTAATAGATGTGTTTTAAAATATTTGAGAGAAGTTTGAAAGGAAAAGTTCAGAAGGACAATATCGGTTACCGGTGGATTTGGGCTCTTACAAATGATATCAGAGTCATCGCATTGGATAGTGTGTCAGTAAAGATGTTGAGACTCGAAGGGGGTGGACATCGGGTGGTGTGCTAGCGAGAATGTTGGGCCCCGAAAGAGGAAAAATCTAAAGAGGACAATATCTGTTAGCAGTAGACTTTGACTCTTACAAATGATATTAGAGCCAGACTTAGGCTCTTACAAATAATATCAGAGCCAGACATTGAACGGTGTGCCAGTGAGGATGTTGAGCCTCGAAGGGGGTGGACATCGGCTGGGGTACTAGTGAGAATGTTGGGCCTTGAAAGGGGGTGAATTGTGAGATCCCACATCGATTAGAGAGAGGAACGATTGTCGAATGAGTGCTAGCGAGGATGGATTGTAAGCAAGAATGGAAATTAATATCTACTGACCAAGGTATATTACAAGAGTAGAATTAGTTGGCTCGTTCCTCATGATATTCAATAGAAACAGAGTCTTATTGATGAAGGTAAAATTGAATACTAATGAAAGACCATCAACCCATCTAATGGCATTAAAGGTAAGGAAGGGAAGAAGAAATTAGTAGGTCGAGAGAAGAACGAATCAAATAATAGAGCTAAGAAGAAATCAGAGGCTACATCGGTCAGCAAAGAGCAACCTACAAATTGGTGTGGTTTGTCAGACTTATCATCTCGACCAAGGAGACCTAGAAGAATGCCACCAAGGTGTAAGAAAAATAGGTCATCGAACTTACCATCATAACCAAAGAGGCTCAGAGGCGGACCTCAAAAGAAACAAAAATCTAGTGATAATTATGGTGACAATTACCAACTTATTCAGATTCTACCGTTCAAAGAAACTGTCCTTCCAACTTGTTCTTTTTGTTTCCGTTATTTGTTTTATTGTATTTAAAAACACAACAATCTCTCCGTTTGAGTACTACATGATTCTTTTTATGAATGTTCGTTGAATTATCAATAAACTAAATATTTAATTCTATTAATATATGAATTGACAAGAAAATAAAAGGGAGAATAGAAGCAAAGAAATATATTTGAAAGTAAATATTATATTATTATTGCGATGTGTGGGTACAATAGGAAGGATTGGAAGGCTTTTATTTAATGAAAGCCATAGATGATAGAAGCAAATAGATGAGATTATATGATATGGTCGTCTCCTTTATTGAACTTAATTCAAATGCCTTTGTTTATTTATTCTTTTTCCTGCAAAACAAACATGAAGCTTAGCCTCAAATATATGCATATGTTCGAGTAATTATATGTATATCGTAATATACTCACCTTATAATGAGTCCTTATTGGCCTAGTAGTAGTAAGGCGATGGTGGGGGAGGAGGCGACTTGTACACGGGCGACGGTGGTGGAGGAGACTTCTTTGGTTCTGGTTGGGGTGGCGACTTCTTTGGCGGTGGTGGAGGAGACTTCTTTGGCGGTGGCGGTGGAGGAGACTTCTTTGGCGATGGCGGTGGAGGGGACTTCTTTCGTGGTGGCGGTGGAGGAGGCGATTTCTTCGGTGCTGGTGGAGGGGGTGGCTTCTTTCGTGGAGGTGGTGGCGGAGGAGACTTCTTTACCTCTGGTGGAGGGGGTGTCTTTTTTGGTGGAGGAGACTTCTTTGGCGACGGTGGTGGAGGAGATTTGTATTCGTCGTCTTTCTTAGGAGGTGGAGGCGAGTATTTGACAGGTGGTGGAGAAGAGTATTTGACGGGTGGACAAGGAGAGTAGTAAACAGGTGGTGGAGGAGAATAGTACTCGTCGTAGCCTTCAGCAGATGTGGATGATAAGCTTAAAGCTACCACGAAAACTGCGATAACAAGATGAACAATGATAGACGGAGGACTCATTTTTGCTTCTACTTTGAGTTTTCTTAATTCTGATTTTGAATTGAACCTTTCTCGACCTTTATATAGATTTAAGGTTCTTGATTACTCCTCCAATACTAACTAATTCGTTATAAATTGTAATTTAATTCAAAACATTAATATTACTCAATCGAGGAGTAGAATTTGAAAGATTAATATTTAATTAATCATTTATGTTGTAACATTATTGTTAATTTAGTTCGGTTGCAATTTGTGAATGTTAAACCCGTCTAATAAAGAACATACACAGCATAATACTTAATAAATTGAATTAAAAAATATTGAAAACAACTTATCTAAAAAAAAACTTTGTAATTTTTTAAATATCTTTAAAATAAAATAAAAAATTACAAAAACACGTTTACCATTAACTCTCCAAAAAATTTCAAAAATACCCTTTTAACTTCAATATATATATATATATATATATATATATATATATATATATATATATATATATATATATATATATATATATATATATATA